AAGTCTCCTGCGTCACACCCAAAAGACAGAGGACAATGCACCATCACACAAAAAGTGACTTCTGGACACGCTGAAGGAAGGTAGAAGTTACGCTGTAACAGACTGCACCGGTCTTGTACCTGCAAATAGTGCTGAAATCGGACCGTGAGCCCGAGAGCAGAGTCCATAAGAGCGATCGGGCACGCCGCTCTACCTCCATGAGGTACAGAGCCGGTCCTTTCTCCTGTCACCTGAGCCGTCCCCACAGTGAGTCCTGTTTTAGTCCTAGTTCAGTTCTGGTTTGTCCTCCTCTCACCTGAATCAGTCTGAGGTAAGTCCTGTTAAAGTCCTGGTTTAGTCCTGGTTACCTGGTTTAGTCCGGTCGACCTGTCAGTCTGCAGTCATATACCTCAAAAGTCACTTTTTCGAGTTATTTGGTGAGACAAAGTAATACAATAGAATGTAATGCCTTACAAATGAGTAATATTGTAATGTAACAAATTACTGAGACTAATAAGTCACTGTTTTAAAGTCTTGCACAGTGCCTGTCACTGAGTCGCACCTGTCACTGAGACGCACCTGTCACTGAGTCGCACCTGTCACTGAGTCGCACCTGTCACTGAGTCGTACCTGTCACTGAGACGCACCTGTCACTGAGTCGCACCTGTCACTGAGACGCACCTGTCACTGAGTCGCACCTGTCACTGAGTCGTACCTGTCACTGCACCTGTCACTGAGTCGCACCTGTCACTGAGTGTCGAACCTGTCACTGAGTCGCTCTGGTGACGTCACTTACTCCACTTTTTATACAGTCTGTGATCACGACAGAAAGAACAAACTTTATGTCTCTCATTTTGTCTTTGGACTTTGTGGATTTTGGAGAATTAACATATAGAACAGGACACAAGTTGGCAGAACTATTTACAGAAAACAACACAAAACTCATCTTTTATGAGTGCAGGAAAGAATACAAACTTAAATCTTTTGGTTTACACATACACAATACACTGAAAAAACGGTCCGAGAGGAGGTTGCTCAAATTGCAAAAACAAATTTGACAACAATAACATCACTATTTTACGTTTCTCTGTCAAGCATGTTTAAATCTTACAAACATCGCTTTGATTGTGGCCGATGTGAGACCTGCATGTTTCAATCAGGTTGAGGAAACATGACTTTATTATAATTTCTGGTGAGGCTCCTCCCTCTGGAATTCTCCTCCCCAAAACTTTTGGAGGGAAAATTCAAGTGTAACAGGACACAGGACAGATCCAGGAGCAGAGACACACAGTGTGGAGCAGGAGGATTATGAAGCTGATCTGGAGGTGAGACTTTTCAAAGATTTTATTATGTGCTTCTCCGGCCTAGAATGTCGTCACTGTTAAAACATGTTTGTGGTGTTTTATTTGAAATTAGAGTTAATGTAAGGACTCCTTGAAACATATTGTTTTTGACTGTTCATCTACAAGAGTGTGACACTTGTACTAAGATTTGAATGTGTTTTGAATGTGTTTGTTCCAGAGTCGTCTACAAACACAGAGTGACGTCCAGGTTCTGCTGCAGCTGTGGGGAAGTTCATGAATGTTATAGTTGATGTTTCAGAAAAAAGGAGGATGTTTGAGAACCAACAAAACACAGACCACAGATGAACAAAGTAAGTAAACCAACTAGAATTATTTAAAAAATTTTCAAAATGAACTTCCTATTGAAACAGCTGTCGTGTTTCTACAGGGTGATGTGGCACTAGGAGACTTTATACCAGATGCCCTCCCTGTTACTGTGTTTAGAGGAAGAAAAGCAGCACATGGTGAGTTTTGTTCCTGCAGATACACTTCTAATGTTCTTGTTCTTCTGTTCTGGTCCATTATTGTAGTAATAAGTGCTTTAAGTGTATTTAAACATGTACAACAGAGTAGATGATCAGAATGTGATCATCATGTGTTATTCTGTGTCCACAGAGACCAGAGCTTCTTCACTGGAATAAATCTTCACACTGTCCAGCTCCAAACTGTGTGTCTCTGTACTTGTGTCTCTCTGTGTGTTTGATTCTGTTTAAGACAAGACAGAACTGTGGAAAACTAAAGACTGTTTTTGTATTCTTTTACAGAATTAGATCAATTAAATTACATTATACATACTTACATTTCATGATAAGGTAACATAAGATAAATATACATATTCAGCAGGATTTGTTCAAATTTCATCAACATGAAAAAGTGATGTTCATGTTCCGAGAAAAATATGTGTAGAACGGATCGAAATAAGTTTCAAAGCCTAAACATAATTTTATTGCGTGCAACCGCTTTCCAGAACTTTTTTACGCAAATCCAGCAACTTTTTTTTTTCAGTGTACAGAATACAAAGTTATGAAAAAACACCCAAAATTTTGACAAAACTGTCGTATCTTATAAAGTTAAGAAGATAGAAGATATAAAATTGGAATCAAAAGATGCAACAGCAACATTTATATTTAACTTTCATTGACCCCACGACCCTGAATGGATTATTTTTAAAGTTATTTGAGAAAAACTGATTTGGGTGGAACTTTTATTTGGTTTTGTCACATTTTTAAATTGGGCACAAGTTGAATTTCTGACATTGGGACAAACGATGCAGCCTAGTCGATATGTACACTCAGGAAAACTGAAAAAAGAAATATCGATATATCGTTTTATCATTAATGTGCTGATACAGTATCAATATCGTGGGCTGCTGTTTCGATGGTTGATGGACCCAGCAGATTTTATTCAATTGAACAAATATTCCACAGATTTTCTTTTATTTGGTTTTGTCACATTTTAAAATTGGGCAAGTTGAATTTCTGGCAAATGATGCACTGTAATACGTACATACACACATACATATACGCATCTAAAATATCCACTACATATATTTCATAGAAATATATACACACATATAAATACATGCAGAAATATATTTTCATTTATGGTCGTACTAACTAATAATAATATTAAAGTAGGCACTAAGTTTATCGTTTATGATTGTACAAAATAAACAGTAATGAGAATGAAGAATGTAAGGATTTTTAGTTTTTGTTTATGGTTGTAAAAACTAATAATAATGATAACAACGGCATAAAAGTTTATCATTTATGATCGTGCAAAGTAAACTACAATGAGTATGAAGAAAATGTAATGTAATGGATTTTCATTGTTTCTAGTCGGACAAAATAATCTTAATGATAAAGAGGAAACAAAATGTATTTTTTATGATCATAGTTCAGTAGAGATCGACAATTCCAGGTCTAAAATGATCTAAATGATTCTAGTGAAGGTGTGTGGAGTTTAAAAACACAGTAGAGCACTTCCTGTATCGTCACATGACATCACGAGGTGGAACAGCGAGTGCGTGTTTTCAGTTTGAGAAAAGAACTCAGCCTGAATGTGCAGGATTTGTGTGTTAAACATGTTTGAATGAGACAACACTGGAAAAAAAGACAATATCTATCGAAATTAAAATGATTTAAATTAAGAACATTTGACTTTATTTGAGTCGATTGAACTTGACAAGTAAAATTATCTGCCAGTGGAATAAGTGTGTTTTTCTTCACGTACTTGACAGCGGGCGGACTGTTATGAAAATGTACTGCTACTTTCGAAGATGAAGTACAAGGTCCAAGAAGTATTTCCTAGAAGTAGCAACAGTAAATGTAATGTAACTCACTACCGCCACCACCTGGACTGAGACTGTTACTACAACTACTGCGTGTTACACTCATTGCCGGAAACTAAACCAGGTCTAAACCGGGTCTAAAACCAGGACTAAACCAGGACTAAACCAGGACTAAACCAGGACTAAAACCAGGTCGAAACCCAGGACTAAACCAGGACTAAACCAGGACTAAAACCAGGTCTAAACCCAGCACTAAACCAGGACTAAAACCAGGTCTAAACCAGGACTAAAACAGGACTAAAACCAGGTCGAAACCAGGACTAAACCAGGTCTAAACTGGGTCTAAAACCAGGTCCAAACCAGGTCTAAACCAGGTCTAAACCAGGACTAAACCCAGGTCTAAACCAGGACTAAAACCAGGTCCAAACCAGGTTTAAACCAGGACTAAACCAGGACTAAACCCAGGTCTAAACCAGGACTAAAACCAGGTCCAAACCAGGTTTAAACCAGGACTAAAACCAGGTCCAAACCAGGTTTAAACCAGGACTAAAACCAGGTCTAAACCAGGACTAAAACCAGGTCTAAACTGGGTCTAAAACCAGGTCCAAACCAGGTCTAAACCAGGACTAAAACCAGGTCTAAACCAGGATTTAGATTTAGATTTTATTATTTTATATTTTATTATATTTATATTTTATTATATTTATATTTATTGTTGATTTATTATTTTAGATTTTATTATATTTATATTTATTGTTGATGTATTTATTTATTTTTGTTTAGTTTTTAATTATTATCTTATTGTTTTATTCAGTTAATTTTATTTTATTATTTATTATTGATTGATATTTAGTTTTTTATCGGATTTATAATTTTTTTTTTTAAAATTTGTTTTTAGTTTTTATTGGATTGTTTTTATTTAGATTTTATTTTAGTTTTTATTATTTATTTATTTTATTCATTTATTTTCTCATTTTTATTATTTTTTATTGTATTTATAATTTTTTCTTTAGATTTGATTATATATTTGTATACATCATTTTATTATTTAGTATTTATTTTTATTATTTATTATTATTTTGTTGTATTTATTATCTTTTATTCTTTTTATTTAGATGCTATTTTAATTTTAATTCATTATTTTATTATTTTATGTATTTATTTGATTATTTTGATTATTTATTATTGATTTTAGTTTTTATTGTATTTATTATTAGTATTTTTAATTCATTTTATTTAGATTTTATTTTGTTTTTTATTTATAATTTTTATTTTATTATTTATTATTGATTTTATTTTTATTTTTTTTATTCTTTTTATTTAGATTTTCTTGTAGTTCTCTGGGTTCACTTGGAGGGCCAGAAGATGGCGCTACCGAGCGTCGTGCATTTTTTTTCCCGTCACAGAACGCCACGCACCCGGAAGCAGCGTTGTGTTTACATGCCTCTTTTCATGGATCCCGTTTTTCTTGTAGGATTACTCTTCTCTCCTTCACGCCTCCAAAACTTTCTGTCTTTCTTTTTTCTTTCTTTCTTTCTTCTCCAGCGGTAACATGGCGCCCCGCAAACGCACCGCCGGAAACGCGAACCTGGAGAACGGGGTGGCGGTCGGGGTCGGGTCCGGGAGAAAACGACTCAAACCCGGGGAGAAAAAAGTCAAACCCAGGGAGAAAAAACTCAAACCCGGGGAGAAAAAGCTCGTGAATAAAAGACCCAAACTCGGAGACAAGAAGCCCAAACCGGTGAACAAAAGACCCAAACCCGAGAAGAAAAAGCCCGAACCTGAGGACACGAAGCCCGAACCCGAGGACAAGCGACACAAAGCGGTTCTGGTTCTGGCCCGGGGCGGGAGTAAAGGCATCCCGCTGAAGAACATCAAGACCCTGGCCGGGATCCCTCTGATCGGCTGGGTGCTCCGGGCTGCGGTGGACGCGAACGTGTTTGACAGGTACAAACAAAATAAAAAAATATATAATTATAAATATCAAAGTTGAACCATTTGTGTTTTGGTTGTTCTGCGCTGAAATCTATGTCCCCAGGGTTCATGTTTACGCTTTTATCAGACCTGTTTTTCCCCAGTAACAAACTGTGACTCTCTCGGTTTGTGGTGGTTGGTAACAGTGTTGGGGAGTAACAGATTACATGTACTGGAGTTATGTAATCAGAGTACAAATGATGAGTAACTGTATTCAGTTACAGTTACTGGTTCAGTGAGTGGTAATTGGATTACAGTTACTTGGTTGAAATAAATGGATTACACAGAGGTATTTTCCTGTTTTCACATTTTGGGCTATTCTGTTGTTTTTTTGTTTGTTTTTTTCCGGTAATTTCACTCATTGCCGGACACTAAACCAGGTTTAAACCAGGTTTAAACCAGGTCTAAAGCCAGGTCTAAAACCAGGTCTAAAACCAGGTCTAAAACCAGGTCTAAAGCCAGGTCTAAAACAAGACTAAACCAGGTCTAAACCAGGTCTAAACTAGGTGTAAACCAGGTGTAAACTAGGTCTAAACTAGGTCTAAACCAGGTCTAAACCAGGTCTAAACTAGGTCTAAACTAGGTCTAAACTAGGTGTAAACCAGGTGTAAACCAGGTGTAAACCAGGTCTAAACCAGGTCTAAACCAGGTCTAAAACCAGGTCTAAACCAGGTCTAAAACCAGGTCTAATGAACCAGGTCTAAACCAGGTCTAAACCAGGTCTAAACCAGGTCTAAACCAGGTCTAAACTAGGTCTAAACTAGGTGTAAACTAGGTCTAAACCAGGTCTAAAACCAGGTCTAAAACCAGGTCTAAAACAGGACTGAACCAGGTCTAAACCAGGTCTAAACTAGGTCTAAACCAGGTCTAAACCAGGTCTAAACCAGGTCTAAACCAGGTCTAAACTAGGTGTAAACCAGGTCTAAACTAGGTCTAAACCAGGTCTAAACTGGGACATTTCTTGTATAAAATTAGGACAAATCAGTGGTTTTGTATAAGTCTGCTGGGACAGGGGACACAGGCTCAAAAGTGGGACTGTCTCGGGGAAAAAGGGACGTCTGGTCACACTGGTGTCGTCATCACAAACACACCTGGAGTTTCATTCACACACATTTTATTTTTTCATTCGTTTCATTCATTCAGGCGGTTTGTTGATCAAAGATTTCTCCCTCAGTCTCCAGTTTATACAAAACCACTGATTTGTCGCAATTTTATACAAGAACTGTCCCAGGTGTTTCTACTTTTGACCAATTTGATCCCTGCCAACAGTAAAGAGAGACATAAACTGTCATTTGTTTCAATAAAATGCAGAAAAGTTGCTTAAAAACGACCAAAACACAAAGAAAATGTGACTTTACTGACTCATGTTTGTCGTGAATGAGCCGAGTGTAGAACAGTTTTCCTTAATTACTCACTCATTTCACAGTTTTATTATTACCAACCCCAAAAATATCCCAGGATATGCCAGTTTTTTACTTTGGAATTCTGGTCACGTTACTAAAGATCCAGTTTTATACAAGAAATGTTCCTATTTTTGACCAATCTGATCCCTGCCCGTAATAAAGAGAAACATAAACTGTCATTTGTTTCAGTAAAATACAGAAAATCTGCTTAAAAACGACCAAAACACAAAGAAAATGTGACTGTGCTGACTCGTGTTCATCATGAATGGGACGAGTGCAGAACATTTTGTCTTAAAATTGTGAAACAAGTGAGTAATTATTATTACCAACCACCATGAGCCGGAAGTGTCCAAAGTTTTGAGTTTGAATATTTAGTCACCCTGGTCCTGGAATTACCAATTTCTACTGAACTAAAGGTAAAAATGAGCTGTCAGTTTACCCCTTCATGAAGACTAATAATAAAGAGTCAAACGTGTGACTGTGATAATGACATTTTAACACAACTTAAAGCTCACAAGAATCAATTTGGCAGTGGTTCCCATAGATTTCATTCAGCACAAACACTTTCTGTATTTAAAGGTTGTATGGAGGATTTTTTTTCAGTTTTAAATTGTCAATGAGAGTTTAAAATACCATTACAGAGACGCAGCAGCCTTGTAATTATGATGACCAAAAAAAAAAAAAAGAATGAAAATCGATCAACTGTGGACGTGTTGAGGCCAGATAAACATCAGCCAATAGGAAACAAGGCTGCCTCATTTTCTATTGGCTGTTGTCAATCAAACTCCCTACGTTTCTAGTGTAACTGACTCGTCGGCGTGTGGGGATTACGTGGTTTATGCAGCGGTTCTTAGAGGCTTTTTCAAACTGTCGCTTCCTCGCAGTTCGCACAAAGTTTGTTGCGATGGCGGACGAGAATCCATGACCAGTTCGCCGCAAAAGAAAGTCCGTTTACGAGGTCGCTGAAAGAAGAAGAGAAGGAGAAAAGGAGCGAAGACAAACTGAGGTGATTCTTGGAGATTCCTTCCAGAGAGACAAAGAGACTAAAAACTGATGCGTCGGTCGCTAAAATATTTCTAGACGGGTCACTTCAACAGTAATTCTGAATGCGCACTGACTGTAAACAAGCGTGATTTCTAGAGTAATGAGGCGGGAGGAGATGTTTCTACTGAGGAGCTGTGGAGGAGGAAGGTGGTGTCACGCATGCACAACATTTGAAAAAGGACTGTATTTTCACTTCCCTTTAAAAAAATCCTCTATACAACCTTTAAACTGAAAACTGACTCTTTAAGACGTGTTAGAGTGGAGTTACCTCACCCAAAACACGACTGGACTTGTGTTTTTGTTTCGTTCACACATGTAAAGTCTCCGCGTTATTAATCATACATTTCCAAAGCTCAAAATGCTCCGTTCCACCTTGTGATGTCATGTCGTTTAGTTAACAGCTGCGCACCTTTTTACCTTTATTTCACGAGAAATCTCAACAACTCTAGAGCAGAAATGATCCAGATGATTCTAGTGAAGGTGTGTGGAGTTTAAAAACACAGTGGAGCACTTCTGGTACGACATCACAAGGTGGAACAGAGTGTTTTCTGTGCGATAGAGCAGGGTTTGTCTGTTAAACATTTGTGAATGAAACAAAACACAACTCCAGGTCTGTTTGTGACGAGGAAACGACATCAGAACAGATCAGAAAACAAATTAATCTGAACGTTTTTTAAAATACATGTGTCCCAAAAAAATTTGACATCATTTTAAAAGCAATTATTTTGAAAACTACTAAGTCTAGCCTAGGCCTGTAACGATAATCAATAAATCAATTAATCGTACAACAAATTTTAACGAGCTCGATAACTTTTCCGGCCGTGATAAATTCTATTTGCATGTTTGTTTGTTTCTCAAAGAGGGTGAATGTTAGAAGCTTCTGTCGCTCTGACTCGTCTCGTTTAACAAGTGTAATGACGCTTGAACCAACGTGCGCTGAGTTTATCGACACGGCGGATGCACGTAGACTGAAAGCGCCGCTGTCTGTGCGGTTTAACATGAAGCCGCGACACAAGCGCCGCTGTCAGAACCAAAACAGTTCATCTCCGTGTGACAAAACAAGTCACGATGTCGAATCAACACCGGTGAGTGTCACACGTCTCAACAGCCTCGTGCGTCAAATGCAGCGAAACGCAAACGACGAGAAGAAACGTCTCAAACCCCAACAGCCGATATAAACCCAAACCCGAACGACAGAACAAGCCCCGCCCCCGAGAAAGACCGAAATCCACTGAAATCCCACAAAACACAGACACGACACCAGACAGAACAGAGGCTCCATCATATTGAAACAGAATCATGTGTCGCGGTTTAAAACGAACATTTAAATGACCAAAATGACAAGGCCACAGCAGCAGCCACAGAGAGAGTGGAACCACAATATTCCAATGTAAATCAGTGACTAAAATCACTTTTAAGGACAATTTTGTTACAGAGACTTGTTAAACCATTTTATTTAATGTTTTGGTTGTGTTTGGTTCAACAATGTTTTATTCAAGTGCATTTTTGTGGACAAGTCCTCGCTGTGAGTCAGACACATGAGGATATTCTTATGTGAACAAGTCTGTTTTATTTCTGCCTGTTGTTTGTTTGTTAAATGTTCTTTAGAAAGTAATTTTTATTGATCTTTGAAAGGGTGTATTTGCATTTTTATTCCATGGTCATCATAAAAGTTGAAATTGGTCCCAAAATGTCAATATTATCGTTTATCGCAATAAATTCTTAGTCAATTAATCGTCCAGTAAAATCTGTTATGGTTACAGGCCTAGTCCAGCCCTGTAGTTGGGATTTTTTACGCGATTCGTGACGTCATGGATGTGATGACACTCCCCGGAATCCAGATGATTCCAAACAGAAGATACGTTAAAAAATAAAAAATCAAATATACGTAAAAAAATTTTGAATTTGGAACTTAATGTACTATTGGGGAAAACAACATTCTTCTCTCGTGTTTTTTAGTTCCTGCTTAGATAAAGACGACACCTGCAACGGAAATAAAGTCCAGATAATTTGCTTATTCAAATATTTAAGTGTAATTTAAATGTGTACAAAGACGTCCTGTTCACACCTGTGCGGTTATTTTATTATTATTATATTATATATATTATATTATTATAAACCAGGTCTAAACTGAAGCAGGACTAAACCAGGACTAAAAGAGGACTAAACCAGGTCTAAACTAGGTCTAAACCAGAACTAAACCAGGACTAAACATGGACTAAAAAAGGTCTAAACCAGGTCTAAACTAGGTCTAAACCAGATCTATAAAAGGTTTAAACCAGGTTTAAACCAGGACTAAACCAGGTCTAAACCAGGTCTAAACCAGGTCTAAACCAGAACTAAACAAGGACTAAACAAGGACTAAACAAGGTCTAAACCAGGTCTAAACCAGAACTAAACTAAACCAGATCTAAACCAGGACTAAACCCGGTCTAAACCAGATCTATAAAAGGTCTAAACCAGGTCTAAACCAGGTTTAAACCAGGTCTAAACCAGGTCCATGTGTGTATTCTAGTCTCTGTGGGAAAGTTTCAGGACTTTTTCTTTTTTTAGTATCGACACGTGAGAAAAACGAGGATCTAGTCTGGATCCTCGTTTCAGTCTCGATCTGGTCTCTGATTCTCGATCTTCACGTCTGCCGTCTGTCGTTTGTCGTTTTCGTCCTCAGTATTTGGGTGTCGACGGACAACGACGACATCGAGAAGGTGGCTCTTTCTTTTGGAGCTAAAGTCCACCGCAGATCTGCAGCAGTGTCCAAAGACTCATCTACCTCCCTGGACACGATTCAAGAATTCACCCGCTGCAACCCAGGTCTGACCTTCTCACCTTCTCACCTTCTCCTCTGGTCCTCTGACCTTCTCCTCTGAACGTCTCCTCTGCTCCTCTGACTGTCTAATCTGCTCTTCTCACCTTCTTCTCTGACCCTCTGACCTTCTCTTCATCCTCTGACCTTCTAACTTCCTCCACTGCTCCTCTGACCTTCTCCTCTGTTCCTCTGACCCTCTGACCTTCTGCTCTGACCTTCTGACCTTCTCCTCTGCTCCTCTGACCTTCTCCTCTGCTCCTCTGACCTTCTCCTCTTCATCCTCTGACCTTCTGACCTTCTCCTCTTCTCCTCTTTCTTCTCTTTATCCTCTGACCTTCTCCTCTTCATCCTCTGACCTTCTGATCTTCTCCTCTGCTCCTCTGACCTTCTCCTCTTCATCCTCTGACCTTCTCCTCTTCTCCTCTTTCTTCTCTTTATCCTCTGACCTTCTCCTCTGCTCCTCTGACCTTCTCCTCTTCATCCTCTGACCTTCTCCTCTTCATCCTCTGACCTTCTCCTCTGCTCCTCTGACCTTCTCCTCTTCATCCTCTGACCTTCTGACCTTCCCCTCTGCTCCTCTGACCTTCATTCTCTGCTCCTCTGACCTTTGACCTGTTCCTCTGCTCCTCTGACCTTCTCCTCTGTTCCTCTGACCTTCTCCTCTGTTCCTCTGACCTTCTCCTCTGCTCCTCTGACCTTCTCCTCTGCTCCTCTGACCTTCTCCTCTGCTCCTCTGACCTTCTCCTCTGTTCTCTGACCTTCTCCTCTGCTCCTCTGACCTTCTCCTCTGCTCCTCTGACCTTCTCCTCTGCTCCTCTGACCTTCTCCTCTGCTCCTCTGACCTTCTCTCTGCTCCTCTGACCTTCTCCTCTGCTCCTCTGACCTTCTCCTCTGCTCCTCTGACCTTCTCCTCTGCTCCTCTGACCTTCTCCTCTGTTCCTCTGACCTTCTCTCCTCTGCTCCTCTGACCTTCTTCTCTGCTCCTCTGACCCTCTCCTCTTCATCCTCTGCTCCTCTGACCTTCTCCTCTGTTCCTCTGACCTTCCCCTCTGCTCCTCTGACCTCGTTAAAGTTCCTTTCCTTTCTTCCGTCTTCTTCGTTTAGAGGTTGACGTCGTGTGCAACATCCAGGCCACCTCCCCGTGCCTGCACCCGTTCCACCTGAGGAAGGCGCTGGAGTACATCTCCAAGCACGGCTACGACTCCGTCTTCTCCGTGGTCAGGAGGCACCACTTCCGCTGGCAGGAAGTCGAGCAAGGAGGTACGTTCAGTTAATCTGTGTAATTTCACTGGAGTTTATACCCTTCACCAGAAAAGTTACACAGTGCAGCTTTAAAGAGAAGGTTGAGGATCAAGGTTAGGTTTAGGAACAGTTTTTTTTTGTTGGGTTTTCGAACTGAAACTTGGCAAAACTGACCTGTCAGGAACAATAGATACAGATTTTTGTGGCTCCGGGTGTTGTGTTTTTCTTTTCTGTGGGAGATGCTCCAGATTAATCTTTCAGTATTTAAGGTTGCCAGGTTTAAGTCGTAGCCGGCGTCGTTTACCGAAGTCGTACTAAAACATTTTGACCGAGTTTTGAGCGCCGTGTACCACATAAGATCAGCTTGAAGTCGGTAAGCACAACCAGAATTAATATGTAAGGCGCACTGTCGATTTTTGAGAAAATTATAGGATTTTAATTGCGTCTTATAGTCCAAAAAATACGGTACTTAATTTTTATTTTATTTTATAATTTGTCAAATTTGAGGGATTGGATACCCAGCACATCCACAACAAGACAGACTTAACTAAATATAAAACTAACACGCATACAAAAAAAAGAATTAATAATAATAATAATAACAACAATAATAATAATAATAATAATAATTAAAACTATAATAATAATAAAAAAAACTATAATAATAAAAATAATAATAATAATAATAAATAATAATAAATAATAATTATTATTAAAAAACTATAATAATAATAATAATTTTAAAAAAACTATAATAATAAAAAACTGTAATAATAATAATAATAATGATTTTAAAAAAAGGAAGGGGGGGTTGGGGAGGGTGTGTGTAGTACAGAGTTTCTCAATGCAGTATTTGCATGTGTGTATTTACATTTTTAAGGCTGTCAAATCAAATTTATATTTACATATTTTCTATTCCCTTCCCATATCTTTCCCATATACCGGTACTTAATTTTGAGTTTCACTAAACCGCATTTATTGCGCTTTTACAATAAAAAAAAAACAAAAAAAAACGGGGATTCACTTGATACATGGCGTCTGGAAAATAAACAATTAAAAAATTACCGAAAAGTCATTTGCGTCACAGGTTTGCTTTAAATATTACGTTTTATTTTGATAACCTTTCCTTCATGTTTTTAAATAATTGTGACAGAGCGGTGTTTGGCGTCTGAACCGGCCGGGTTTGTTGTACGTTACGGTAAATTCCTCTTTGACTTCATTGTTTACCGTCTTAATCCAGCTCCACACTTGGCCCCGTGTTTGACCAGGAAACAGCAGCTCAGTCGCGACGGGCGTGGTTTTTATTGTGCGTTATGTTGACACAGATATGACAAGGCTACTCTGATAACATGAGTTTTATTATCACGAGAACCGCCGTATGTTCTTATTTTGTGCGGTTCTGTGCTTCGAGAAACACGCAAACACGTTTTGTAGTGTGATTTAGTGCTCGAAGTGGTTAAAAATATTACACAAAACAGGTTCTCGTGAGCTCTAAGCCGGGTTAGAATGGGCTTATCTTATTAAAAACAAATCTGGTGTTGTGTTTCGTTTCATTTATTCATCAGTGCGCTTGAGTGACTCTTTATTATTACTGTATTTTTTGGAGTATAAGTCGCACCAGCCAAAAAATGTGTAATGAAAAAAAAAAAACCATATACAAGTCGCACTTTTTGGAAATGGGCCCGGTCAAGCAGAAGTAAACAGCAAGGCCAACAATTCAGGTTAATGTTAATTCACTCTTTATTTACCGAGACCGTTTTTCAGACTGACTCTAATTTTTTTCGTGATGATTTATTTGTTTATTTTATTTTCTTTGTCCACAGGTGAGAAGTTGACGTGCGCTCTGAACCTCAACCCCAGTAAGCGTCCGCGGCGACAGGACTGGCCCGGGGAGCTGTGCGAGAACGGCTCCTTCTACTTCTGCACCAGAAAACTGATCCAGAAAGGACTTCTGCAGGTCCCAGACTCACTCTGCTCACGCTTCAAACTCAAACTCAGCACTAAGGAACAGACTCCATACTGCGATACTAATCTGTGTATCACTTGTTCATTTGTTTTTCAATATAAAACCAAAAATATGAAAACGAAAAAACAACAGTTTTCTTCATTATTTGTCTCCAAAACCAAAATGAAAAAACAGATAATGATTTGTTTTTTCAGTTTTCGATTTTGTGTTTAAATGAAAAATGGAAAAAAATCGATAACGGCCGTTTCCTGTTTACGTGACTTCAGTGACTGTGATGTCGGACTTTTGCACCGCGTACGGACTGAACCAGGACTGATCCAGGTCCGGGACCAGACCGGGACTGAGATTGGGACCAGACCGGGACTGAGACCGGGACCGAAGACCGGGACTGAGACCGGGACCGAGAGACGACCGGAGACCGAGACCGGGACTGAGACCGGGACTGAGACCGGGACTGAGACCGGGACTGAGACCGGGACCGGACCAGACTGGAACTGAGACTGAGACCAGACCGAGACCGGAACTGAAACCGAGACCAGACCAGGACCAAGACCGAGACCAGACCGGGACCAGACGGGGACTGAGACCGAGACCAGACAAGGACCAGGCCAGGACCAGACCAGTGGTCCATGATGACATGGAACCGCTCGTTCCATGTCATCGTCTGCGCGCTGGTTTCGTACGGGGAAAGTGTGAATGTTCTGTGGACTACAGGTCCGGACGGGCTGCTCCGGTCCTCCGAATCACAGTTGGTTCCGAGGTGGTGCAGCATCCGGACAGAAGCGTGAGTCCAGTTTGGTTGGTTATTGTTTTGACCATTCGTCCTCCGCACATTTGGTTCTTCCCCGGGTAAAGCACTTCTCAGGCCGAGGCTCCAAACATGTCTCCCCGCTCCAGCTCCTCTGAGCCCGGCCTGAACCAGACCTGCTCCCGCTCTTTGGAATAGTTCTTTTGGACCTGCTGTCTCTGAGTTCGACCCGAGTTCGCGTTCACACCAGAGGAACAGCACCAAAATGTGGTATTTGGTGCGGATTCAAGCGAACCGAGACCACCTCTTTCTTGATGCTTGATTTGGTTCGGGTCCGAGTCCGATTGAAGCTTTTACACCAACGCAAACGAACCAAACTAAGAGCTTTTGGTTCGAATGGACCGTTTGGTGCAACAAATACTGTCTGTGTGAAAGCACCCTGAGACCGGGACCAGACCGGGACTGAGACCGGGACCAGGCTGGGACTGAGACCGGGACCAGGCTGGGACTGAGACCGGGACCAGGCTGGGACTGAGACCGGGACCAGGCCGGGACTGAGACCGGGACCAGACCGGGACTGAGACCGGGACCAGACCGGGACTGAGACCGGGACCAGGCCGGGACTGAGACCGGGACCAGGCCGGGACTGAGACCGGGACCAGGCCGGGACTGAGACCGGGACCAGACCACGACCAGACCGGAGGCTCAGAGCCCACAGCTGGGCCGGAACTCGAAGCTGGGGCTCGGACCCTGCGGAGGCTCAGAGTCAAAGCTCAGAGTCCACTCTGGTCCCGGTCTGGTCCCGGTCTGGTCCCGGACCTGGATCAGTCCTGGTTCAGTCCGTATGCAGCGCAAAAGTCTGACATCGCAGTCACGGGAGTCACGTAAACGGGAAACGGTCGTTATCCGTTTTTTCCATTTTTCATTTTAACACAAAATCGAAAACTGAAAAAACTAATCATTATCTGTTTTTTCATTTTGGTTTTGGAGACAAATAATGAAGAAAACTGTTGTTGTTTCGTTTTCTTATTTTTGGTTTTATTTTGATTAACGAATGAACGAATGACACACAGATTTTTGAGCGATAAAACCTGCTCCTGTGACTGAGTAAATGTAAAGTAGAGCCGTTTCATGTCACACTGTGGAACATTTTAAATAATATTCCGTTACGTTTCGTGTTTGTTTCCAGGGCGGTAAAGTGGCGTACTACGAGATGAAGCCCGAGTACAGCGTGGACATCGACGTGGACATAGACTGGCCCGTGGCTGAGCAGAGGGTCCTCAGGTCAGAACAAATACACGCTTCTACTGCAGCTTTTTCTACAATTATACTGCACAGGGATGTGACGATAAACAAAATATCGTATCGTCGATATCACAATAAAACCAAGGGCCATCACAGCATATCGAATTACAAGTTTCTTATCTTAAATTCAGGATCATTCAGGCTAGAAATAAACAAATCAATAACATCTGGAGCCTTTTATGTATCCGAGATGTGAACAGGACTAAACTAGGACTAAACCAGGACTGAATTAGGACTAAATCAGGACTAAACCAGGACTAAACCAGGACTGAATTAGGACTAAACCAGGACTGAATCAGGACTAAATCAGGACTAAACCAGTACTGAATCAGGACTAAACCAGGACTGAATCAGGACTGAATCAGGACTAAACCAGGACTAAATCAGGACTAAACCAGGACTGAATCAGGACTAAACCAGGATTAAACCAGGACTAAACCAGGATTAAACCAGGACTAAACCAGGACTAAACCAGGACTGAATCAGGACTGAATCAGGACTAAACCAGGACTAAACCAGGACTAAACCAGGACTAAACCAGGACTGAATCAGGACTAAATCAGGACTAAATCAGGACTAAATCAGGATTAAACCAGGATTAAACCAGGATTAAACCAGGACTAAACCAGGACTAAACCAGGACTAAACCAGGATTAAACCAGGACTAAACCAGGACTAAACCAGGACTGAATCAGGACTAAATCAGGACTAAATCAGGATTAAACCAGGATTAAACCAGGATTAAACCAGGACTAAACCAGGACTAAACCAGGACTAAACCAGGCCTGAACTGTTTTCAGTCCTAGTCTCAGTCCTAGTCTCAGTCCTGGTTTGGTTCCGGTCTCAGTCCTGGTTTGGTCCAGGTCTCAGTCCCGGTCTTAGTCCCAGTCACAATCACGGTCTGGGCCTGGTCTGGTCCCAGCCTCAGTCCTGGCTCAGTCCTGGCTCAGTCCTGGCTCAGTCCTGGCTCAGTCCTGGTTCAGTCCTGGTTCAGTCCTGGCTCAGTCCTGGCTCAGTCCTGGCTCAGTCCTGGCTCAGTCCTGGCTCAGTCCTGACTCAGTCTGGTTCAGTCCTGGTTCAGTCCTGGCTCAGTCCTGGCTCAGTCCTGGCTCAGTCCTGGTTCAGTCCTGGTTCAGTCCTGGCTCAGTCCTGGCTCAGTCCTGGTTCAGTCCTGGCTCAGTCCTGGCTCAGTCCTGGCTCAGTCCTGGCTCAGTCCTGGCTCAGTCCTCAGTCCTGGTTCAGTCCTGGTTCAGTCCTGGTCAGTCCTTCAGTCCTGGTCCTCAGTCCTGGCTCAGTCCTGGCAGTCCTGGTTCAGTCTGGTTCAGTGCTGGTTCAGTGGCTGTCCTGGCTCAGTCCTGTTCAGTCTGGTTCAGTCCTGGCTCAGTCCTGGTTCAGTCCTGGTTCAGTCCTGGTTCAGTCTGGTTTCAGTCCTGGCTCAGTCCTGGCTCAGTCCTGACTCAGTCCTGGTTCAGTCCTGGTTCAGTCCTGGCTCAGTCCTGACTCAGTCCTGGTTCAGTCCTGGTTCAGTCCTGACTCAGTCCTGGTTCAGTCCTGATTCAGTACTGGTTTAGTCCTGATTTCCTGGTAGTCCTGACTTCTCAGTCCTGGTTCAGTCCT